TGTTAGGGAAATTATGGATGCCTGGTCAATACATTTTCAGTATCAGTTTCACACTTCTAGTAATGCACTGAGGATTGTACTGGCAGTTTTAAGGGTCCTCTTTTGCATAGATTTAAGGAGAGTTTTTTTTTTTTTTTTTTTTTGTCTTCTTCTTCTTCTTCTTCTTCTTCTTCCTCTTCCTCTTCCTCTTCTTTTTAAAGGGTGGTAGGGTCAGGGACTTGCTCTGAAGTGATAGATTTTGAAAAGAAAGAATGAAAATGTGTGTGTGTATGTATGTATGTATGTATGTATGTATGTACGTACGTATGTATGTATGTAAGGAAGTTTACATGCCAAAGTAATGAAATATGAGTGATGGAATAGCACATTAATAAAAATTTAGTATGGGTTGCATAATTCTTTCAGATTTAACTGTTCCATTTTTATCTTCATGTGCAAGTGTTTGAAATTATAAAAATTAAGATCATGTTGTTGCCATTTAATATGATATTAATATTATATGAAATACATATATAGTTGCATACCAATGATCATCATACTTGACAGTTCCAAACACATTAAGCCACACTTCAGTAAACACACCAACACATTACAACATTTCCTAAAGCATTCTAATGTAATAAATCCAAAACTCATCCACCACTTCCTTTTACCCTCAGGTGCCCGTGACTCTGGCAATGTCAAGTATGAACAGCGGAGGAGGGCATCATCACCAGTTCCAGCAGCAGCAGCAGCAGCAACACCAGCCCCAGCATCACCAACCACAGCATCACCAAGCACAGCATCAGCAGCAGCATCAGGCCGTCCATATCCATGCCCATGCCCATGCCAGAGGCCCTTCATCAATGATGTGTGCCACACCCACCCAACCTCACCACACACACCACCTCAACACCAGCCATGTGCAGACGTCTCCGCACCAGGTAAGTTGTCGGGGGGTCTTTATGTAAAAGAAAATGTGTGTGGTATTATTCTCTTCCTCTCTGTCTCTCTTCTCTCCTCTCCTCTCTCTCTCATTTTCTCTCTCTCTCTCTCTCTCTCTCTCTCACTCTCTCTCTCTCTCTCTCTCTCTCTCTCTCTCTCTCTCTCTCTCTCTCTCTCTCTCTCTCTCTCTCTCTCTCTCTCTTCTCTCTCTCTCTCTCTCTCTCTCTCTCTCTCTCTCTCTCTCTCTCTCTCTCTCTCTCTCTCTCTCTCTCTCTCTCTCTCTCTCTCTCTCTCTCTCTCTCTCTCTCTCTCTCTCTCTCTCTCTCTCTCTCTCTCTCTCTCTTTCATTCTCTCTCTCTCTCTCTCTCTCTCTCTCTCTCTCTCTCTCTCTCTCTCTCTCTCTCTCTCTCTCTCTCTCTCTCTCTCTCTCTCTCTCTCATTCTCTCTCATTCTCTCTCATTCTCTCTCTCTCTCTCTCTCTCTCTCTCTCTCTCTCTCTCTCTCTCTCTCTCTCTCTCTCTCTCTCTCTCTCTCTCTTTCTCTCTCTCTCATTCTCTCTCTCTCATTCTCTCTCTCTCATTCTCTCTCTCTCTTCTCTCTCTCTCTCTTCTCTCTTCTTTTTTTAACTTTGCACCATTTTAGAGTGGATTAACGAATGGAGGAGTCAAATGGTATTAATATACTGTATTTGCATAATACTTAATAATATCTTTCTGCCCAGTCGTGAGATTACTTTCACTATATGTGTAATAGAAAAAACAACATGTGTTTTATCATCAGTATAAAATTACATAGTAAAAGTGGCCTTAGTCGGATGGAATTAAAACGTCCATGGAAACAATATATTTGACATTTTGATCACTGTCCCTCTTTATTTTCAACAGTTGTTTTTGTGAATGGCACTTTCATTAGCAACAAAATCAGAAAATTATCTTATCAATATCTCATTCAGAAAGCAATTAACTTAAGTTGCTTCTATTAAAACTCTAATTATATTCAGATAATGGTCAATCAGCTGCTATTTAAAGAATTATTGATTCTGTATTGTTAATTGATTAATGCAATGTTGATTTACTACCTGATTATACAAATTTGAACACTGAGTGGCTATAACTGGTTGAGATGTCAAGCACATCATGCATGGATGTAATGCAGTGATGCAATGACTGTTTGCAGATGAGTGGTGCCAGTGGCGGCACATACGGCAATGTTCCACGCCTCCACCACTGCAATGTGCACTCCTTCCTTTGTTCCAATCCACCTCTCCATCATCAGTACCAGGTATTATACTTTCCATCGTACATAGAAGACAAGGAAAAATAAAAATGATATTTATGTAAAGTTTCAGGAGGCCCTGAGTCCCTGAATGTGCAATTGGAAGGGAATTTTGAGTAGGGGGGACTAATAGAAATGAATCTGCTGGTCAACTTCCAGATGAACGGAGGATGCCTTGGGCCCCAGCACCACTACGCGCCTATGGTGCCCCCGGGGCATCACGCGGCCGGCCCTCTGCTGGCCCCACCTGGAACCCCCCAGCTGATGGCTGCCACCCCTCAGCCCCCTCATACTCACACCTCCCTGTACAGCCAAGCCCCCATGGGAGTGGCTCCTCCTCAGGCCGTACCCACCCAACTCACTGCTGTTCCTGGACAGCTGTCGGCCGCACCACAGAGTCTGGGAGTGGGAGTACCCCCCCAGTTACCCCCACAGCACCACCACCATGCCCACCAACAACCGACGCCTCCTCTGGTTACCCCCTTCCCTGCTCATACTCACCTGCATCAACTTCATCATTTACATGTAAGTCCACCTGGTTGAGTTTCAACATCAGCTGTATTTATTTATATCTTCAATTTTATTTAAGACCTGGTGCTTAATATTACTTTGAAACAGTACATTATATATATATTTTATTGATTTTTCTCCTTCAAAATACCCAGGCCAGCAGCGGGAGTGGCGGAGGAGCACGGGGAGCAAGTGTTGACATGTTGGGCCGTGGCCTTTACCGAGGACCAGGACAAGGCCATGTCCTGGGCCGCATGAGAGGACCACGAGGAAGCAGTGGGAGCAGTTTGGGAAGCACCAGACGCAGTAGTTCCAGCTGGCGAGGGAATACCATGCCCCCAGCAGCCCCCCCACCTCCACCCCCTCCTCCACTTCCCAGTGCTGCTGCTGCGGCGGCTACTTACCCTGGCATTCTCTTACATTTCTTGTAAGTTACTTTAGGTGTTTTTATTTCTGTGGCATTTCTTTGAAGTTAGGAATGATGTACAGTATGCAATATATGTGTTTCATTTAGAGCATATATATATATTTTTTTTTATGTGTGTATATGAATGGTTCAATGGACATGAATGTATTTCCAGGGCAATGTTGTCGCATCCATCACTACACCAGTACAGTATGGTAGACCCAGTGCCAGCAGAAGCCCCCGACACGGAGAACTACGAGGCTTTACTACATCTGGCAGAGAGGCTGGGTGAGGCCAAACCCAGAGGCCTTTTGAAAACAGTGATTGACCAACTCCCGTCCTATAGGTAGGCAAATTTTCCAGAGTCGTTTATCTGGTAATGTAGTGATTTCAGTTTGGTCAGTTTCATTGTTCATAAAAAGATGTTTTGTTTTTCTGGTTTTCCTATTCCTCTTCTCTACCTTTTTGTACTTGGTTTTTGTTTTTATAATATTTGATTGTTTTATTTGTTTCTACAGTTTGGTATGATTGATAGTGATTTTTGATATAAAAAGACAACATATTTTTTATTGTAGTTTTCCCATGAAAAGGAATTTTATGGCTTTCCTTCCTCTTTCCCTACAAAAAGAAAAAAGAAAAAAGTGTAGATCACACCATTTGCACAATCAAAATGAATTCACATAATTTCCAGGTATACAGGGGAGAAGTCTGACACTAAACAAACCACATGTGTGATTTGCATGTGTGACTTCGAGCTTCGGCAGATGTTACGAGTATTACCGTGTCTCCATGAGTTCCACACCAAATGTGTCGACAAGTGGCTCAAGGTAAGTCGCTCTGTCACTGCCTCGTTTTGGTTATGCACAAGGGGGTCTTGGTTGTCTTGGGTTCTGTACTTGGCTAGATGATTTGGGTTGGTGAAAATATCCACTTTATATAGAGTAACAATGTTCCGGAACCTTATGTCTCCTAAGTAGAGCTTGTGTCATCTAAACACCAAGATCCCTGTTTTATTTATTTATTTTTATTTTTATTTTTATTTATTTTTTTATGGGCACCACAAAAATCAGTTGCATGATTTTTAAAGCTTTACATTGGGTACAACTTACTGAAAGTGGGATTTGCTATTAATGTCTTACAGAGTAGAATATTTATTTTTGATCGTTTATTCCTTTCTCTCACCTTATGACCACTCTATATGTCTTCCTACTACCATATTATGTCCGGTCAGCAGGCTTTAATAGAACATGTGTAGAGCAGTGTACAATATTTTCATGTATTTTAACATATTCCTTTTATTACTGTAAGGTGATTATTCTCAAGATGATTGTGTGTGCTCGCTTAGACATCAGATAATAGATTTATGATTCTGGGACAATCAGGTAGCAAGCATGGGTTTTTCACAGTGCAATTTTCCCAGTGTATTGACCACGTTGTATCGTATACTAGCCCTCACCCACTAACAGTATTGCTTCTCTTATTTCTTATTAGAGGCGAAAGTGTGCATGAAGCTGCTGTGACATACCAGTACCGTTGCCATATTGTCCTCTAAGCCAAGTGGACTCCCTCATCTCAGTGGCAGATATCACATTGTCTCCTCTCCCTCCAGCTGCTCTCCATCACAGTTCATCACCCGAATGTTCTCAGCTCAGACCAGTCTCACTCTTGATTCAAAGCCGAGTCTATATAACCTTGTATATAGACGTGCTCTAATGACCATGAAAAGCCTGATTCTCTGATATAAACAGATTTCCCCCTCCCCCTTTTTAAATGCTAGAATATTTTGGATGAGTCGCAATTTCTCCCCTCCCCCAATACATATATATATGTTTTCAATATATATGTATACATGTGAATGAGTCCTCTTTCAATAATGATAATGAAG